CTAACCCCAGGAACAGACAACGATGTACCAGTATGTCTCTGTGCCTGTACGGGCCACCCGTCCACAGTACATTGCAGGTGGGTGGTCCATAAGTGATTAATGAATAAATGTTAATTCCTTTAAAGAGTCATACTAGATAACAGATAAAGTAGGAAACCGCATACATGTACAGCAGCTTGTATATTTTAATGAGTTGGGTTGTTCTCAGAGTTCGGCCAGCAGCTTAGTTGTTCCATCTCTTCTGTGTATGCTATAGGTTGGTCTTTTCTTTTTCAAAGTTTTTATTGATCTCAGACATTTTCACAAGAGTGTCCCTTCCCAGGAGGTGTGCTTTTATGTCATTTGCTGTCAGGTACTTGTGTATCCAGTAAATATTTAGCATTGATCAGTAGTTTTGTTTTAATTTATTTTCAGAGTCATTTTAGCAGAAATCCACCAACTGACAGCTGTGGCGCCACAGAATCCCTAGACAAGAGAATTTTCAATGTTCCGGTGAGTTCTGTTTTATCAAGAGTTCTATTTATAAACTGCAATATAGAGTGCCTTATAGTCTGCTGTGGGCTTAGTAACTTTTTTTTCTTTACAATTTTTTTTTACATTATTCCAAAAAGTTAAACTATGTAAACTATATCCCATGTCCCTGTCAGGGCTCTGTCCACAGCAGAGGTACTCGAAGACCTGGCATTCCTGCCAGTACCTTGCATGGCTGCAGAAATGCACGCTGGTGAAAATCTATGCACATTGGCGCATGGACGCTAGCCAGAACACGCATGCGCACTGGCGCATAGTTATGCACGCATTAGCCCAGTTTGGTGCCAGATAGCCTTTACAAGGAAGCCCATCACTCCCTCAAATTGCTGGTTGATCTCTGACTCCCCAGTACCCTTGTCCATGTTCCCTTGCTACTGTGATCTGCTGTTACTGATTTGGCTTGTTCCTGGACCTGTCTTCTTTGCCTGACTCCTGATCTGAGACTGGCTTGGCTAATGGATATTCTCACCTGCTCTCCTGATCTGAGACTGGCTTGGCTAACGGATATTCTCACCTGCACTCCTGATCTGACCCTGGCTTGGCTAATAGATATTCTCACCTGCACTCCTGATCTGACCCTGGCTTGGCTAATAGATATTCTCACCTGCTCTCCTGATCTGACCCTGGCTTGGCTAATGGATATTCTCACCTGCACTCCTGATCTGACCCTGGCTTGGCTAATAGATATTCTCACCTGCTCTCCTGATCTGACCCTGGCTTGGCTAATAGATATTCTCACCTGCTGTCCTGATCTGACCTCAGCTTGGCTAATAGATATTCTCACTTGCTCTCCTGTGTATGACCCCGGCTATCCTATTGACCATGTCTGCTCCAATCTCCACCCGGCATCTGACCTTGGCTTTGAACCGACTACTCTGTGGTCCTCTGCTACCCTGAAGGCCTGCATACCTCTCACGGGTGCCACCTGTCTGCAGACACCATTCCAGGGCATCAGCTGTGCTCCTGGGTATACCTCTAACAAGCACTCCTACAGGCGACCCATGCTACTTCGGACCTGACTCCTGCTGTCCCATATCCAGGGGAGTCTGGAACTTAGCTGCAAGGGAAGCCCTCTCTCCATTGGCCTCTAACACCAGGTACATGATAGTCCCTAGGTGTGCCCCTAGGCATGGGAGGGGATAGAATAGGAAGGTGCTTCTAAGTGCAGTATATCCAGAAGAACTGAAAGATTGGTCTTGAAGAAGGAGCTCTGCGAATGCTCCAAAATGCATCACCGTTCCACGCCTGTTACAAGCCCATCTCACTTCTGGTTTCCACTCAGAAGGAGGAACGTCCCACTCAGTCGTCAATCTGCTATAGCCAGGTGGGAAGGTGTTAAAAAGTAATATTTCTATAGAGCATTTCTTTCTGGGCACTCAAAGCATTTGGCGGTGGGAGCTTTGAGGAGAAGGAATTGTCAGGTGTTGCTATTAGTGTGGGTAAAAAAGTGTTTCGTGAATCTGCTTTTCCTTGGATGCCCTTCCTTGTGATTGGATATTCTTTGCAAAGTGAATATTCAACACATCCACTAAGCGAAAATTCTTTTGCTAAGTGCACAATTCACTTTGAAAGCAAACATGTATTACTTCTCTGTCTGATGTTCTGAAAGCTACTATAGGGTGAATCTGTACATCTCTAGATGAAATAAGACATTGGGGTTGTCCAAAAAAGTGAATAATATGTGAATAAATGAAAAGCGGTCCTCACTTCAATTGCCTAATCATGGACAAGTAAAATGGGATTGCAGACCGCACCCCCCCCCCCTCCCATGACCAGAACATTCCCCAAATACGACCATTAAAAAAGAAAGCATTAGGCAGATTGGGGTGAGAAATGGCCATGGCACTTTATTGGTGTTACACAAAATAAACCATGTACATACTACAATAACCGTTGATGAGATTCAACATGCAAAATATTATAAAACACCTTCTGGCTCAGTTATTGAAACTTGAGCCATCACATCAAACACCTGTACTTCTGGAAACATCCCCCCTGACTGCAGGGTGACAGCACCACACAAAGTGCGTGCGTCAAAAAATGGGGGGGGGGGGGGGCTCTTCTGCTTCAGCTGGCCACTGATCCAAATGATCCAGGTGCCCGCTGATGCTCCAGAAACTTCCATGACTCCCGATTGGTTCCCAAGAGTTCTGCTTAACAAAATTTTAAGCCTGGGGTCAACACCAAAATTTCCCCATATGTGACAAACCCACCATTTAAAGGCAAGCCTGGGGCTTTGGACTCCGTGCCCTGAGGGTGTCAGTCGGTGCGTGACCCTACCATTAGGTCCTGTCCCTTCCACCGCTCGTGCCCTGACCACAAACCCACCATTTATGAACTACAAACAAGCCCATTTGAGAAGAGATCAGGGGGGTGAGGGGCAACCGCAATCCCACGAAAGTGGCCCTCCTAAAGGTTTGTGCCCACTCTTGCCAATCTTATAAACTCCTGTACAAATGATTGGGTATTCAAAGTGGACACTGAGATATCTTATTCACTAAGATAAGTGAAGATTCAATTAGCAAAGTGAACTTTTTATGTGCCTTTAGTTAATCAAACTCAACGAGATTACGACATGCTGGAAATAGATACAAAAATCGCCCTTAGGTTTTCTTTTAGTAAACAAGAGCCGGAGTGTTGAGAAGCATATTTCTTCATCTCACAGAGAAAAAAATGAATCCATTCATATTGTTGTGTCCTCTGATTACAGGTGGAAGACGCAGCTATTGTTATTGAAGAAGCTGTGTATCAAATGGCTAAGTTTCTTCTTATAAACCACCGAGAACTCGACTACGGAGAGGAGGAATGGAACGGAATGATGGAATTTTTAGATGACTACGCCAACATAATGGCTGGATGTGTAAGTCTACCAACACTGCACTTCTTAACTGAAATTAAACTGTCCTACTGGTTTGGCCTAAGTTGAGGTTCTCCAAGGAAATGGTGAATGGCTTACTTGGAGAACCTGACTCACTTAGTGGATTAGCTCCTTACTGGTTCCTTTCTAGTACCCATAAAATGCGTGGTGAGCCCACCCAACAGAACACTGTTTGTGCTATTGCTGCCCAGTAGTATTAGGATAACATCTAATAAATAAATGATGTACTGCTTCCTTATTAGACCATCCACATCACAAGATGTGGAAATCCTCCCCCCATAACCCCTTCAACATTAGGAAGAAGATCCCTTTCAATGAGCAGGACTTGCTATTTGGAGAAGATGAGGCACTGCACATCTTTTACATAGTGACCTGCGAAGCGGGTTAAATTTTGCCCGGTAGGATAAATGATGGAGTTCACCTCGTTGAATCACCAAGAGGAGATTTTCATTTTCTCCCTCGTCTCTATAGCATAAGTGCCAATTCATTTTGTTTAGGGACCTATTTATAAAATGATGGCACACCCAATCAGGTTAGTGAATTCCTAGATTGTAAGCTGTATCGAGCAGGGCCCTCTGTTTCCTCTTGTAACAATTAATGACTGAAGTCACAATATACAGAAACAGAATACATTTTTAAAAAAAGTCTGCTGCAGGCAGGAGGAAGCATTTTCTCATTCTCCTCTCCCCTAGTGATTAGACTGCAACATTGCACCTTTGTAGCAATATCTATGGTGGAAGGGTGCAGCAAGGGCTAATCAGCTTCAGATATTTCCCTTCACAGCCACAAATGATGTAGACATCAGGATTTAAATGACTGTCATATCTGAGCTGGCTTCTCAGTCCAGGAGTCGATGCCGACCCTAAACAAAGATGGCTCCGGTCTTCTGGAGAGAACATCAGATCAGGCATTGTCAGGGGGAGTATTGAGATCTCTAGGAGAGAAAATACATTGCTAACAGTGTTACATTTATACATTACGTGTTATGCATGTACAGAAAGTGGAGTTCCGGGCCCCCGCCACCTCCCCCTGCAAAAATTTAAAAGTTAGCAGTTACAATTGCTGTGGCTGCTGACTTTAAAAAGTAGGGCACTTACCTGCCCATGCATCCAGCAGTATCCTCACCCCGAGCCGATTCTTCAACTGGCTGTCGGGTGCTGGCACCGCCATCTTGACTATGGGAAACCGGCAGTGAAGCCTTGAGACTTTTTCTGCCAGTTTCCTACTGCGCATGCATGAAGTGTGCTGTGCTTTGTGAATGGGCTGCAGTCCTCTGGGACACTTCCAGGCTGCAGGGGGTGCTGAACTTTCGGATCAGTTAGCCACGGCAAACTCAGCCGGAAGTGGGAATGGGTACCTGTCGAAACCAGGTACCTGCTCTCCCCTCCCCCCAAAAAAGTGCCAAATGTGGCAGCAGAGGGGGGGAGGAAGCAGAAAAGCGGAGCTTCCACTTTTTGGTGGAACTCCGCTTTAACATGAAAGAAAATATCTAATTCTAGGTCCACCTTAAATACATACATTCATCAGTCATTCCACAAACTACAATAACCCCAGGTTCACATGTAAGCATTTTCCGCAGCGTTTTGCAGAAACGCAGTACAGTCCATTTAACATGATTTCCTATGGGACATGTTCACACCTGTGCGTTTTCACCCGGTGCTTTTTTGGAAAGGGTCAGCGACTTTTTTGAATGCAAAAAGTTGCATTTTTGGTTCTATAGACTTCAATGGAAATGCTTCAGAAAAGCATGTGCTGTGTTTTTACAGCATTTTTTATGCATTTTGCTTTTTAAATCTGCCTAGCAACAAGAAAAAAAAGAAAAGAAAAAAAAATGCAGTAAAAACGCAAGTGCAAAAATGCAAAATGCAATGCAGAAATGCCTCAAACGCAGGCTGCATAGATGTGAACCTAGACTAAACCACAGTCACAGGGAGCAGTGACCTTCATAAGTCAGTGTACCAAAAGACATTGTAACGTGTACATCGGGAGCTGTGAAACTGGTGTTATTCTGACCACGTGCGTTACCACGTCTACTATTTCCTCATGGACAGCAAGTTAGAACAAAAGATCAAATGTAAAATTCTGTGTGAAACGGGCAAATCTGCCACAGAGACGTTTGACATGATTCTGTACGCCTTCTTTGTCAATAAAAAAAACTAGTATCCTCACAAATACAAGGTGGTATCAAAAAGTTTTGAGACAATAACTCTAAGTTCACACCTAAGCGTTTTCTGCAGAGTTTTGCAGAAACGCACTACAGTCCATTTCACATGATTTCCTATGGGACACGTTCACATCTCCACATTTTTACCCGGTGCACCTGTTCGTTTTCACCCGGTGCGTTATGGAAAGGGTCAGGGACTTTTTTGAATGCAAAAAGTTGCATTTTTGGTTCTATAGACTTCAATGGAAACGTTGCAGAAAAGCATGTGCTGTGTTTTTGCAGTTTTTTTTTATGCATTTTGCTTTTTAAATCTGCCTAGCAACAAGAAAAAAAAGGCAAGAAAAAAAATGCCGCAAAAACTCGTCACATACGCAAGTGCAAAAACTCAAAACGCAATGCAGAAATGACTCAAACGCAGCCTGCATAGGTGTGAACCTAGACTAACCATCGGAAATGAAATCACCTAAAAGAATTCATCTTGTAAAGGATCCTGTCCAGCTTTCCTATCGAAAACCGTAAAAAGAAACCTTTCAGTCCTGAATATTCAATAAAATGTAACAACCACAGCAGCTAGTAGATCAGCTGCAGGGGCGGACTGACCATTTGGAAACTCGGGCACTGCCCGAGGGCCCGGGGTCAGTAGGGGGCCCCATGAGATGCCCCTGGTACCTTTTTCATAGGCTTTTTTCAGTTTGGACAAGGACACAGGGGCCCCATGATCCCCTATTGCCCGGGGGCCCCATGAGTTGTCAGTCCGCCCCTGATCAGCTGTCTCTTCTGTAGAGGTAATAGGAGAATCTGATATTTGCGAATGGTTTTAATTTTTCCTTTTTCTTTTTTTTTTTACCTATCGATCTGTTCATTTATTCTTTTTTAATCCTATGTTGCTAGGTGCCAGAAGAGAGTTCCAACCATCCTCTTCGGAACCCCATCAGGGATTTCTTCCAAAAGATGTGGACCATGGTGGACAAACAGGTACTTTCTATATGTGTAGCAGAATATCTAACAGGCAGCTTGTCTTGAAATTCTTTGTAGATTGACAATAGTTCGGGCGGAGAAGACAATTCACATCACTTTCATTTTTTAAGTTGGAAATTGCATTGATGTCTTCTTTGTCAATGAAAAAACTAGTATCCTCACAAATGGGAGGTGGTATCATAACGTTTCCAGGCTAGTTTTGTAACAACAGATGGCAGCACCAGGTGACACACAGTCACAGGGAGCACTGATCTTCATAAGTCAGTGTGCCAAAAAAAAACTTCATCCTGTGTACATCAGGAGCTGTGAAACTGGTGCTATTCTGACCATGTGTATTACCACATATGCTATTTCATCATGGACAGCAAGGTAGAACAAAGAGCAAACGGAAAATTCTGTGTAAAAATGGGAAAATCTGCCACAGAGATATTTGACATGATTCTGCATGCTTGCTTTCTCAATGAAAAAACTAGTATCCTCACAAATGGGAGGTGGTATCAAAATGTTTTGAGACTAGTTTTGTAACACTCCAACAGATGGCAGCACAAGGCTGCACACACAGTCACAGGGAGCAGTGACCTTCATAAGTCAGTGTGCCAAAAGACATTATCCTGTGTACATCAGGAGCTGTGCAACTGGTGCTATTCTAACCACGTGCCTTACCACATTTGCTATTTCATCATGGACAGCAAGTTAGAACAAAGATCAAATGTAAAATTCTGTGTAAAAATGGGCAAATCTGCCACAGAGACATTTGATATGATTCTGCATGCCTGCTTTCTCAATGAAAAAACTAGTGTGGTGGTTTATGTAAGGATATATTTTATTTATAAAGGGCGTGTCCCTTTCCCTTAGATGAAATATTACAGTGCCTCCAGCCGTTAAAATACGGCAAATATTTAGTAAACCAATAATTTGGACACCTTGATAATTTGATCACCACTTATTATTATACCTTGAATTCTTTTAGCCAATATGATTTCGTACCATACACACAAAATTTGCCTTATAATAGATAAATATAAAAATTTATTTTTATGTACAAAAATTATATATATATTAACACAAAACGCAAAAGACTGGTGATAAATGAATATTGGTACACACAATCAAAAATATATCCTACCAATGTAAGACACAATAATAAGGTTTCTAACTAATTACATCAATATCACAATTTTTAAATGATCTGATTATTTATTAAATTTATTAATAATTAATAATTTCGAGTATCTCAAAGGTTATATTCTCACAAACCGTGGCCATAGGATTGCAAGAAGCTAGCCCTTGATATATTATACTCTGATTATTAATATTCAATAAATTATGAAATCATGAAAAAAAAATTATAATATGGCAACAAACAATTTTTAACAGTAAAAACAGGATCTCTCTACATATATCTAACTACCCAATATTGTTGTGATACACTAAGGTAATTTTATGATTCCACACAACAGAGAAAATAGGTAATACAAAATCAAATAAAACAATCTCACCGCACCCGGCATTCAGACTAGGCAACTCTCCCCTGGTACATTTTTAGCTGGCAGTGGAACGCCTTTAGACTGATATTATAGGGCAAGTGATAGATATTCAGTATGGGAGAATGTAGGAAGTTATAAGGTTAGAGGTTTAGAAATTTAGTTAAAGTTTTAGGAAGTTTGAAAGGATGGAAGAGTAGTTATTCAGCAGAGATCTTCTTCAGATGTCAGGGTCTTCTTTTGATGAGGTCTTTTCTTGATGAGGTTTTTTCTTTTCTTAAAGGTGCAAGGGCTTTTATATCCACTAATCCATTGTTCTAAGATACCTTCCCACCAGGCTTCTTGATTGGCTAGTTGAGAAATGTGTGTACATAAGCTATTTCTCACCTGCCCGCCAGGTGGCGGTCATGTATCATAGAACAATTTGAGTATTTGAGATGACTCATACCTCGGGTGGAATCTTAAGGTAAATTTCAGGGATCAAATATACGTCTTTTTCCAGATATAAGTGATCATACCTATAATATTCTAAATAGGGACCATGGAATATAGGTGTATATTCAGTTATTCCTTCTTGAAATACCATCCTGTTTGTTTCCTGATAAGACATGTAACTAATGCTAGTTTATAATACATCTTACTTTCCATCATCTCAATACTCAAGTTAGTGATATATAGTTCCCATTGCTGAATATTTAGTGGTGTGTAAAATCTATAACATCTTATTTGTAATATGTTTTTGTAGTATATCTTTGTAATTATATACAGTCAATTTTTAGACCAAATGTCCTGAATTTCACTTCTTTGTTTTTAGAACCAAACATTTTTTTCTATGTGTAGGGAAAAACTCTCTGTTTGCCTGGCTCTTGTATTAGAATCATGGTAAACAACTGTTAATGCTTTCACCCTTGGTGGACAATAGTATATTGTAATAGTTTCGGAGGTCTGTTGTTTATCACACTCTGCAAGTTTTGGGTAATTTCAATCATGGAGTTCCCGTCTCATTATTGTTAAAATGTTTTGAAAGTCAAGTCAGATGCTGGCCATCTGTTTGACTTTCACAGTACGCATTCTTCTGTCAATAACAAATAGTCCTTGTTGACAGTCCAAAAGAGTCTTATTGTCTTGGAAAAGTCTCACTTCCCCCATTCTATCCATTTCTTCAAGAATCCTTGAGGGGTTCAACCAAGACAAAATTAACTCTGTTAGCATCCGGCTATACCAGCTGTTTGTCATTTAATATTATGTCTTGATAAATGTCATATTTTTGAGACATAATTCAAAGCCCAAACACTAGTATCCTCACAAATGCGAGGTGGTATCAAAATGTTTTGAGACTAGTTTTGTAACACGCCAGCAGATGGCAGCACCAGGTGACACACAGTCACAGGAAGCACCGACCTTCATAAGTCAGTGTGCCAAAAAAACTTCATCCTGTGTACATCAGGAGCTGTGAAACTGGTGCTATTCTGACCACGTGCATTACCACATCTTCTATTTCATCATGGACAGCAAGGGAGAACAAAGAGCAAACGTAAAATTCTGTGTGAAACGGGCAAATCTGCCACAGAGACGTTTGACATGATTCTGCATGCCTTTCTCAATGAAAAAACTAGTATCCACACAAATGCGAGGTGGTATCAAAACGTTTTGACTAGTTTTGTAACACGCCAACAGATGGCAGCACAAGGATATACGCACAGTTACAAGGAGCACCGACCTTCATAAGTCAGTGTGTCAAAAGACATTGTCCTATGTACATCGGGAGCTGTGAAACTGGTGCTATTGTGACCACGTGTGTTACCATGTCTGCTATTTCATCATGGATAACAAGTTAGAACAAAGAGCAAATGTCAAATTCTATGTGAAACAGGCAAATCTGCCACAGAGAAGTCTGACATAATTCTGCAAGTTTACAGCGATGCTCCAATGAGTCGTTCGAGGTGTTTTGAGTGGCACGCTCGCTTGAAGAGCGGAACAACCCCCTCCATCATTGCTCACTGGAAGGCGAGGATCGAGGAGACTCAGGAGATGGAAAATCTTACCATGATATTGAAGGGAAGAGAGGACAAATATTGGAAGATATGGACTCTCTACTTCTTTTATAGAGATCAGACCCTGCTTGCCTCTCAGCCCTGATTTACTTGAGGATGTATGTTCAGCATTTCCCTGTCTGAGAAGGAGGGGGACCCTCTCCTCTACCACTCCCCCCCCCCCCCCAGGGGGGAACTGACCATTTGGAAACTCGGGCACTGCCCGAGGGCCTGGGGTCAGTAGGGGGCCCCATGAGATGCCCCTGGTACATTTTTCATAGGCTTTTTTTAGTTTGGGCAAGGACACAGGGGCCCCATGACCCCTTATTGCCCGGGGGCCCCATGAGTTGTCAGTCCCCCCCCTTTCTTATTTTTTTTTCTTTCTCTCTCTTTATTCTTCTCCCTAACCCCATATGCATTCTCTGTATTGTTCTACCTCTGTGGCCTACTCTTCTAAAAATGTTTTCTCTACATGTAAAATTTTAAATATGGCTCGGAATTCAACGTTTGTGATTGGTTAACTGCTCCTCGGGGGTCCTGCACAATATCCCTGTGGGTGTGCTCCTCCACCCTGTCAAACTATGCTGCCATGGCCTAGGAATCTCTGTGATACGTTTTTCCAATGGAGCTGTTCAAGCTTTCTTATCTTCTGTTCTGTATCGCATTGTTGAATACCTTGACTACTAAATAAAGAATACAAAAAAGAAAGAGCAGAAAAACATCACTGGAAGAGAACAAGAGATCAAGAAGACCTTCAATGAGCTCAATCCTGAAAATGTCGAAGCCATTTGGCAACTTGTGCATGATGATCATCAACGAGGATCATTACTGGTGCCGAAACTTGGGTGTATGGGTTTCACGCAGAATTTCACATTGAAGGGAGCTTTTTGCTCCACTGACTTTTACTGTAATAAAATTATGTCCGGACTAGCGGTGGTGTAGATCTTCA